ATGTTTTTGCAAACTAGGACACAAAATTTAATTTTCAAGCCAAGAAAAAAAAGAAAACATTGTTACGCTGCAGTGCCATCGAGATCGGTCAGACAACCGCAAGGAAAAGCCAATCAAACTTACAAGCTGACCACTTGCATGACAGGACCCATAACCAGGAGCCATAACATCACTGTGAGGTCCTCCCATTTGCTGGCGACAAAACTGAAGGCGAAAGTAATTTGCAAGCCACTTTGCAGGGTCATAAAAGGGTGGGGGGAGAACACTAAAAAAGTCCTGTGGAAATAATTGAAAAATTTGCACTACATTGCAAATCGAATTATGAAGAAAGTGACGACGATGGCGCAGGAAATATCAATTAGTACAAACAAGAGCTAAACCCCATTAAAAGCTTATTTATCCCGGCCAAAAATAAAGCAAAAAAAAAAAAAAACAAAATAATAATAATATGAAAGAAAATGTGGAAAAAGGGAAGCCAGCTGTAAGCAAATAATATGGAAAAACTTTACACAAACAACCCTTGAGCTGCAGGAAGTGAACTGGGGGACTGGAGGACTGAAGGGAGTAGCAGCAGTCAGGGGGGGAGGGTGTAAGCTGTAGCTGTGGAATTAATTGCTTTATATGGCGTGATAATTTATTGAAGCCCACGATGACCAACATGGGAGCAAAGGCAAGGTCCTGGTTCCTGGTTCCTGGTTCTGGTCCTGCTTGCTTGCTGCTACTGGCCCTTGTTCTGGGTCCTGCACTTCCCTGCCAGCCGGGGATAACACAAGTATTATGCCAGCAACGAGGCATAAGGGTCAATCACATTAGAGACATGCGATTCGAGCGAGGGTGGTTGGCCCTGGCCTCTTATCCTTTTGCCCCTGTTGGTCAAGGGTTGCCCTCTGCATTCTGCAATCTGATTATGTGCTCGGGTAATACGTTTTCTCTGACTAATAAACATGCCAGAAGGTAACTATGATGCCAGGGTCACATCGAAAATATATATTTAGTTTATGTGTCTGCTTGATTTTGGTGAAAGATATAACCTAATCGATATCTTAACTAACCTTGAACACTAATTTATCGTATATCTATAGATATAAGTTAAGGTTATAGTACTTATATTCTTTGAAAGCGTATTCAAACTTCACCTACACTTTAACGTGACTGTAATTTTTTTCGCTTTTTGAATTATTTTGTTTTACCCTTAACGGATTTACGCATTGCCACTGGTCGCCGAGGGTCTTTTGGCCAGAACAGAGGTATGTATATGGTATGCATATAATCAGGGCATTCAATCGACTTAATTTCATTATGAATACGAAGGCAGCTAAACGCCGTTGGTCCCCTTTTCTCGCTCCCCCGTTTTAACCATGATTTCCTCTTTCTCGCGCGCTTGGCCAAAGCTGAGCTCATAAATAATCTTGCCAACTTGTCGGAGGACACTCGCCTGGTCTTAGCCACGAGCAGCTGCTCGAGTTGCAGGGGGCACACTCCATCCGCTCCATCCGCAAGGACTCCGCTTTTGGCCGCTGTTGACAAACAAATATGAAACTAATCCTTGGTAATTAGTGCGCCAACTTTTGCTGCATTTTGAGCCAGGAAGGGACCCAAGGACACAAGGACAGGGACTTGTAGTCGCTGGAATGGCGAAAGCGAGGAGCACCCAGACCGTTGCCTGCTGCTCTTTCGGCATCTCACAGTATCAGATGCACTTGGGGAAAAAATTAACTAAGAAATATATACTTTGCAATCTAATATTAAATTCAAACCATTTGTTACCTTTACTAGTGATTAATCAATTCAATTTACCTGCTATTTTTATATATTTGTTGTAAAACCTTATCTTTTCCTGACCCTTTCCCCAAGTTTTTCCCCTTTCTCGCCGTGTAAACCTAACTCCTGGTCATAGGAAGTTAGCAGATTCCTTGTGTTTTCTGCTTTTTGCGGTTTTCCCGGTCGCATCTCGTCCGTATTTTTTTTCGCTTCTAGTTTTTTGTTTTTCTTTTTTTTTTTTTGTTTTTTGCGGCGGTGTCGTCGTTATTTTTATTGGAAAAGTTAAGCTTGTGTTTTGATAGGTTTCAGTCGTAAAGGGATTAATTAGTGCGGACTTCGCACCAGCGGTTCCGCCGGCAACAGGATAAAGCCAGTGTCTAGGGGGCAAGCTCAACATGCCGCCTCATGTCGCAATGCATAATTAAAGCTAAGCTGCATTGCATTAAGTTTGTGACTGAGAAAAGATATGGGATCGAGTTTGGAGTACGTAAATGAGATGGTTCTTATAGAATTGGACACATGGAATAGTGAACTATCTTAAATATATAAATAAATAAAAACTTGATCCTTTTCCCTGCACATTTTTTTCCCATCCAGAACTCAATTACTTATGGAATTCCCCACATAATTCTCCATCTGGCCAGTTGTCTTCACTTGAGTTTATTAATTTTATTTCGCGATTCCCCGCCAATTCTCTTCCTCCATTCGGAAAAACATTTCTGTGCTGGAAATTCCAATGCTGTAGAATTTCTCGGTGCTTTTTTCTTGTGTTGTCGAGTCCTTTCTTATCTTTTTATTATGAACTGCAGCGACAATTTTGCTAGCCATGTCAGCGCATGATTTACGAGGCCGTGGCGTACAAATGAAAATTGTACTAAAAACGGTCAAAAGGCGGAGGGGAGAGGGGAAGCACGGTGTTTGGGGGGCAAACCCTTTTTTGTGGCTCTGAAGTTTTGGCCACAAAACAGGAAACGGAAATGAGTGCGCAGAACGGCAATGGCGACATGTGAAATGTGTTTGCCACCAGCGAAAGAAAAACAAGCAAAACAAAAAAGGATACCGGCAAACACACACACACACACAAACATGCAAAATAAACGGGTTCAAGTGGCGCTCGTAAAAGCGGGTAAGAGGGAAAACCAAAGGATAACTGTTGAATTGTTGGCCATAATAACAAGGCAGGCAGGCCAGGCGACTCCCATGTGTGTCTATGTCTGTGTCTGCTCCTGTTTCTGCATGTGTGTGTGTGTGTGTGTTAGCTTGTCGCGTAGCAACTTGTGGCTAGCTTAATAGCAGTTAACGGCATACCAGCAAAAGAAAGGGTACCCCAAAGGGGTGCAAAGACGTGGGGGCAACCGGGTCAAAGGACATCACAGGGGGTCGTCTGCATTTTCATCTCAAAAAGGATAAAGATGAATAGCGCTTGAAAAGTGTTTGTTCGGTTAATAAATTTCATTAATTTGCTAACCTGATTACTCAATGGAATGTATTTTGAAAGATTAACTACAATTTGAAGTAATGGTAAGGTATTTAGTGCATTTTAAAATGGATTTATTATTATTTATATTTTCTTTTAATATTAAAAATAATTTAAAAGTATTTTAACATGAAAAATACTTTAAAACTCATGATATTTATAATAAAACAATCTCTGCAAAATACATTAATTAAGAAGTATTAATTAAATTGCAAAAGAAATGAAAATAAATGAATTAAGAAATAAAATCATGATGCCTAAAGTAAACCATCTCTAAGCCAGAGTTTTGGTGGCAAGATAAATAAATAAACTATGCAAGTATTCATTTTATTAAAGATAAATATTAAAGGATTTAAATTACTCTCTTATAGTACAGCAAATAATACAAATTAACTTTACTTAATTGCCTTGCCAAAGGTGTTTTATTATTTCCTTTAAATATATATATAAAGGAACCTTTTGAATACATTAACCTTTAGCCCAAGTGACTTGCTAGAAAAATCAAGAAAACCTAAAGCTAAATGCCCAAGGAATACGCATAAAAAGGAATGTACAAGAAAATGCGATTAAACCGAGCAACTGGGATGTACTGCGGGAAATAAAATAACCCTGGCAACCGAACCGCGTGCTGTGAAAACAATCCAATCAATTTATTAATTAAGCAAGCCACTCGGACCAGAGGAGCGCCCTGATGTATATACGAATGCAGAAGGACTATGGGTATGCCATGGCCGATCTGTCTGTCTGGCAGAAAAGCCTCACCACCACCTCACCTTATCACCCCCCTTGGCCAACGATTGTGCGCGTCTATTTGTCTAGCTTTGTGCAATGGATTTTTAATGTTTTTCCTCAGACTCGGACTCGCGGGGGGGAGGACAATAATGTAACGCATTGTTAAGTCCGCTTGGCACTTTTCGCACGCCAGCTGTGTCCGGCTGGAAAAGCGAAGGAAACCTCCTCCTTCCGGGAAGACTCAGCTCCAGTCTTTAATGAGCCCCAAACTGCAATTACGCAAAACATTTTGCGCACTGCATGTGGCGACGGTATCGTCGTCGTCGTCTGAAATAGTTTTAATTGCATTTTGCTTTTTATTTTATTGCACGTGGCGCCCCAAACAATTTCGTTGTGCCAGAGATTAAGTTGTATTTAGACAGGAGTCGCTACAGGAAATCCATTAAAATGTATTTAATATGGTGAATAGTTTGGAAACTGAAGCAATAATTTTCCATGTGTCATTATAAAGCAGGAACTGCAGATATTAAGATAAATAAAACTACGAATTAGCGTTAAGTCAATTCTAAAACTACTTCAAAAATGTATAGTTTACTTCGGTTACATGAGTTATGTACATATATAAAAATTAATTGTAATTGCCAATACAGTTGTAATGCTTTGAATAAAGAAAATTCCAAATATATCCAGCACCTTTATTAGCAACTCAAAATCGGACCCCAGTAGCATTGTTAAAAGTAATGTCCTTTAATAACAAAGCAAACAAGGACTTGTAGGATTGCATTCTATAAAGTATAGAATACAAGAGCTAAGGGGTTACAGTCACAAAAGAACAGCAGCCATGGAGAGACTTTTTTACCTACCAACTTTACTTACTATAACTATTATTATTTGCAGCCCAATCCTAACTCGCAGTGAGTTGCAGATTCCTCTTGAAATCGGAGAAACAAATGAGCAGTTGGAGGAGGACATAAATTCCCTTTTTGCGATTATAAAAATGCTTATCAACCACTTAGGATTTTACAGTATTATGCCTTATACGGGAAACATCCATCTTAGACCTTCACTTGAGCAACGTCTGATGGAACGTTTCGAGGTGCCGATATATAAGATTGTTTCGCACCAAGAAACTGTGAATAATCAGTATAAAATGGCTGATAACTTAGTGATCGTCCTTTTTACCGGCCTTGATGATCCAATTCTAAAAGCCGTTAACGACACAGAACTCTCGAAAGGCAGACACCACTGTTGCTTTCTTTACGTTCCACGAAACAAGGAAAAACGGGGTTTGACAATGGACGAGATGGAAAAATTCTTCTCCTGGTGCTCTGAACTCAAAACCGATCGAGTGATGCTCCTTTTTCGTGGCAATTCCGAATTCGAGTCTTGGACATACTATAATGTAACAAATTTAATAGTGACAAAAATCCCACGATCATCATATCCTCAATTTTTGCGAAGTCAAGGCTTTCGTTTTTCCGTTAAAGTTTTCAACGATCCCCCACTTATATTTTGGGTAAGTTTTTTGGGGAGAGAAGTAAATGAGTTAAAGTTCGAATAATAATTTCGCAGTACAACTCAACGGAACAAGCGGATGTGGTTAATGACCGAAACATCAGTCTATCTGGAACTATTGGCAACCTAATGGTGGAGTTTATGCGCTACACCAACGCCAGCATGGACATTCTTCTGACCGAAGAAAAGGTTAATTCCAACTATGATTTATTTCAGGCTGACCAGAGAGTTGACTTGGTGGCCAATCTGGTGGTAAATGACAGCCTCCTCTTTAGTCCGGTGATGATGAATACGCAGACTTGCCTTGTGGTGCCGGTTCGCCGAACGATACCGTCGGGCACATATTTCTGGAAAGTGCTTAATCCCAATATTTTCCTGCTCGCAATGCCCACCTGGCTTTCAGTATTTGCAATAAAATACATCGCTCATCATCGTCGATCGCTGGTGACACGATTTTTAGCACCTTTCGCTTTAACCTGGGAGTACCTCTGCCCGGAGGTCAGCTGGAACGATTGCCTCTGGCGGATAAAATAATTGAGGTTTATGCGCTCATGTTCATGATGATATTGATCAGTGCTTGCGGATCCTTACTGAGCAGTGCCTTGACGACGGGACTTTATTATCCGCCAATCACAGATGTGGAATCGATGCGAGCAAGTGGCCTACGGATTATCACAGAAGACCCCACAATGTTTCAGGCTTTCAAGGACAATAACATGCCCAGCTCATTGACGGATCTTGTTGATATCGTGGACTCCCAGACATTCCGAAGGAACTTTCTTAAACTAAACGACAGCGTTGTCTTTGTGACTCAAACGCCCAAATGGAAGGCTGTTCAGATGTATCTGGAGCGTCTTAAAACCAAAAGAATTGTTATCACTGGACCCAAGCTCTGCTCTAATGTCCGTCAACTGCGATTGCCCGTCTCACTCAAATCACCGCTGAGGTTCACCTTTCATGAGTATTTTCACAGGATTTTTGAGTCGGGCCTTGAACAGAAATGGCAAAGTATGAGTTTTAAAAAGTTTAGGGAAGTTTATGGCATTACCAAATTGCCCACTGACAAGGACAACGAGTGGAGACCGCTGAGCATGTCCTATTGTGGATTTATTTCATTGTATACATTTTCGGTATACTTCTGAGCATTTTAGTATTTATTATTGAGATCCTGTATAAAAGTATCGTGGCTAGATTTATTCATGCCGTATATATATGTATAATCCAGATATATATTTTTTAAAATAATTGTGAATGTGCAACTAATGGTTTTAATAAATCTCACACCACTTGCTTTTATTGCACCCTGAAAATTTTCTCTAAAGAGAAATGTTAAGTCTTTGATTCGAAGGGACAATTTGTGCTTCTTCTAAAATATATGAATATATATATATAAATATAAATATATGAATAAGCATCACAGAAAGTCATTCTAGAGCTCCACTATTTTATAACCAAATAAGCTGGGGTTATGGCTAATTAACTATCCTTGATATTCTTGGAATCGAATTCAATCTGATTGGCTTTGGTAACTCTTGATTTTACCTTGGCATTTGCTTATTATTTTAGGCTAATTACATTTAGGTGACAAGAATTGCCCCAAAATATATTCAACTATATCCACTCACCATTGAGTAGTTTACTCTTGAGTTGAATTGTTGAAAACAGCTCTCAAGGAATTTTGTTCTTCTTATTTTTTTTTGTACCCCTCGGAGATAGTTTTTGGCAGCGCATGCGTCCTTAGCATCCTCTTTTTTTTGGCAGTAACTCACTCAAAATGTAGTTGGCCTTTTTTGTGGATGCCAGCACTTGGTGGCCCTGCGATTGGGGATGAATGCAATTTGCCAAAAGGGGCGGGCCAAGGGGGCCGATGGGTTTGGGGGAGAGGTTGCACAATTCCAGCTAATTGGCAATAATCAGGCATCGACCATAAATTGGCGTTAACAAGGCCGACAAATCAGCGAAACGCTGGCCGTTTGGCATTTTAAATTGTGATTGAGCTGGCGGCATAAATCAGACAAATTGAATTATAACAAAAACAAAAAAAAAAACAAGGCAGCAATAAAATCTAGCAATTATATTTGTGCACTGTAACACACAACCATCGTTGTGCATTTTTCTCTGGCCTCGCGACAATTTAATTACAATTGGTCATGGAGAGAAATTGCAGTTGTCGCCGCACTGGCGCCACAAAATATGCTAATTTATATTTATATGGATATGGAGTTATTCCCTTGGCGGATTTCCGCGGTCTTCCCCGCCACTTTCCCGACTCCTTCCCGCCTCTATCCCACCTCCTTCCCGTCACCAAAGTTTGCTTCCAGCTCCAGACTCCGGCCGGGACTGTGTGTGAAATATATATTCGGCGGCGACTGCGGTCGTAAAATTTATTGTTGCCAAATGCATATTTGTCACATTTTGCAATGTGTTTGGCGGCCATAGAACAATTTATAAGCAACTTGGGACTTTGGCTAAAAGCCTTCCCCCATCTACCAAAAAACAATAGAGAAGCCCGCCCCATTTTCCGTTCTTTTTGAAAATAAAAATATTTATATATTTAATTGTTGCTTTTTGGGAGACCGAGCCGAATAAATAAAAATATATATTCAGCCGAAAGATTCCAGTTGTATAAAACAATGTTTTAGGTCAAACCTACACCAGCATTTAATATACTTTTAATTATAATAATAATTAATTAAATGTGGGAAAATATTCAGACACCATTCGCTGGCTTTCGACAACGATTGGCAAACACTTCGAAGCCCTTAGGACAGACCATTTTAGGCTCGTGCTCCAAAAGTATTGCCACCACAAAAAGTAGTTTTAGAAATTTTCGCAGGTTGTGCCACATTTTTAAAGCACTTAATTTCGAGATGTTTTGTCTTCGACACTCGGTTCCAAACTAACTTGCATTCTTTATTATATTAATTATATATATAGTACAGTATTTATACCCCTGCAGGGTATTATAATTTTTGTCAGAAGTTTGCAACGTAGTAAAGAAGACTTTTCCGACCATATTTTCTTGATCGGCATCAACAGGCGATTCTATTTAGCCATGTCCGTCTGTCCGCCTCTACATTTCTACCGAACTAGTCTAGTTTTGAAGTTATCCCAATGAAACTTAGTAATTTTCCGGATCGGAGAACTATACCATAAACGTTAACGATAGTTAAATATATAGGAAAATTCAAGATGTGAATGTACAACTGTAATATATTGTATTTTTATGTTAATTTAACAAAAGTAGGCATTATTTTGTAGTTTTTTACATAAATATATATAATGTACACATATTGTATTAATTATTAATGATCGAATTGGGATTTGAAGGGGTATACAAATGTCGTTGAAGTTAGCTTCCTTTTTTTGTTTTCTTTCTTAAAAATATATTTGATGGATTTTATAACGGTATGATATGCATTTCAAATAGTTCATATACCTTAAAAGAGCTTATTTATATTTAAAAAAGATTAAATTTCAAACGTATTGCTTGGTAAATAAAGAAAAAAAAATGTATGCATGACTAATACTATTTAGATATATATTTTTTAAGAATTTGAAATGTTTTTTGCATTATTATAGTTTTAGATAAAATATTTGTACTTGTGATCAATTGATCGATACTTTAAACCTTCAGGACTGAAGTAATTACAATTGATTTTCAAAAACAACACTAATACTTCTATGATCGGTTTTAACATTGTTGCAATCAGAAATTCCAATATTTTTTAAGTTTTGGCGGTAGGTAATCATTTCTAAATCTTATATTTAAATACCACCAACAGATCCCGTTAAATCTTATGATCGTCAAGCATCCCCAAAAAAAATTCCAGTCACTTTAACCAGCTCTGCCCCAAGGCCCGTCCAATAAAACTTCCCATCAACATGATAATTGGCTACCATTTCCATGGAAAAGTATCCATTGCCCTCTGCCCCTCAGCTGTCACAACACACTCACCCACAACACACACACACACACACATACACTTCACACCTCAGAGACTCACTGAATGGGAATCCCCCAAATGCTCGCTAAACAAAAGAAATGAAGTCATTTGTAATTAATGAGGTTTGTCACCCCAATTTGCCGCAACTTCCACAAAACACACCAAGAAAAAAACCAAAAACCGAACAGAAAATGAAACATCAGATGGCAAAGGAACGAGGGGGGCTGAAAGTCACCTGTCTTTCTGGCATATTGAAAATCACAGTGGGTGAGCAACAGAAAGCAGAAAAAAATACAACGCCATCCACAAAACAATCTAATTATATCGTTAAGCACACCAAAATTGGCAACAGATCCACCCCTGAAAAAAAGTAGAAGCTTCAGGATGGCCGGAGGATTGCTGGATTCCTGGAGATTGGTGACATCCTCTTGCCACCAACACCGACACCTTGTGCCTGACTGACTGACAGTCCAAGGGGGACGCATGCTTGACCCTGACAGACAGACAGACAGGCCGATTTTCGGGGTGACAGTTTCCGTTTGCTTGTTTAATTAAAATTATGTAAATAAATTTATTTAGCTGACACTGCGCTGTAATTAAGTGCAAGGCGTGGCTCGAGGGGGTGGCGGCTGTGCATCTGTTGCCTGACAAAATATATGCTACACCTTGGTGGACAAGTTATGCGCTGTCTTTGTGGGGTTTACACGGAGAGAAGTTATCATTGATAACCATACTACATTTTCAACTAAACAGGATTTAATTTGTATCCGAAAAATATACTTAAACTTCACTTGAGATATATTTAATTCCATTCTTAAGTGGGGATAGATTTTCCCAGTTATAAAAGCTTTTCTTCATGTCCTTTATTTCGAACCGTGTACCTTTTGTCTCTGCTCGTGTCTATATATGCTAACAAATTAGCCTTGAAATGAGCAATTTGCAGGCCATGGACGTGACGGGAACGGTGGGGGAGCATCAGGATGTTAGTGGAGGCGAAGGAGGAGAAGGACTCGCTGTCTTCGCCGTGAATACAAACTGAGCTGACAGCTGCTGTCAGTGGCCGCCGTCAATGGCGCTACGTCAGGGTGTATTAAATATTCCTTCCGGGTGGCGAGAGGCGTGAAAAAGCAATTAAGTGTGAAGTCCTTAAGGAAACAGCACAAAACACCAAACAAAAAAAACTACAGGAAAAACAAGTTTTTCTTTGTCTACAACACAAAATGAAAAATGATCCAAGCCATGCTAATGGAACTCCTTCACATCACGTACTTTCCACAACTTAAAGTTTCAATAAGTTCCCATGGAACCCACTCTGACAAGGCTCTCCATCAATTCTGGGAAGGAAATCAAATAAATTCCAGAACAGTTGACCTCGGGAGCCCTTCGACATTCGACATTCAATTCATGACCCTTCATAATCCGTCGCCGGACTAATGAAATGCTAAAAGTCACTCAGAGGCACATTTCGCATATATACAGACAGACATATATGTCATACAGTAGTCCATCTCACACGTGCTCGATTGACGTCACCACAGTGAAGCCATGTTGGTATCAACATGGAAGAAAATTGTTTTGATGAATGTGCCGATTTAATTGATGAATGACTTTTTAAGCTGGCAAAAAATCGAATGGTAGCACGTTTTTCCTGGCCTGAAAATTTCTGTTCATGCACTGCAAGAAATACTTATAGTTTCATACTTATATTCCAACTATAGGTGTTTCTATATTCACTTCACTTTAAAAACTTGTTACTTAAAAAATAAAAGGCAAAATGTCTTTGAAACATCTCCTTTCCTTTTTTTCTCCCACTGCTTTTAGAGAGCCCTTTGAAGGATGATCCCATGACAGGTGAGCGGGCCTTAATTAAGTTACTTCGAGCTGAACCCATAAATATGTCGAAGGGCCAACGAATAGACAGAGTTTCGCAACTAAAGGGTTAACAAGGCCAAAAGTTGTACTACACAAACTGAAAATCCTGGAAAGAGCGCAACAATTACCGCAAATATCAATAAAAAACGAATACAACATGAAACTGTAATGTTGCGATTTGTTCGCTTCTCCGAAATACAAAAGCGAACCCTACAAAAAGGTTGGAAAATTTTCGGGGGGAAATTCGAGTCGGGTTAGCTTCAGTCCCCGGCATGCAATAATATAAATTCCAGGCAACACACACACACACAAAGTCCGACCTT